CCCGTACATTAAGGACATCCTCGATAGAGCTCGATAGCGTCCACCTTGGCCGCTGCGGCGCTCCTTCCACCCTTCGGCGCTGTGCGGGGGTCTCCTCGGTGGGGTGAGATTCTTCCCTATATCCATCCGACATGTTTTCCTTGAACTTGTTGTCCTTTTGTAGTGATTGTTGGCTTAAGTTGTAAAGCAATACTAACCACTAGCCAAAAAAGGGAGAATGAAAAAAAAAGCCAAAAACATGCACAAACACGACCCTACGCAGCCACAACAAAAAAAAGAAAAGGCCACACACACGGCACGCGGCGCACACCTCACGCACAGACACGCAGAGGCACCCCCAATCCCACACGACGGCAAATCACCGCCATATTTACTTTACACTCCGCTGAAGGCAGAGCATCCACACTGCTCGAAGGCAGGCCACTCTGTCCATTACTCCCTTTCCAGCGCCACCCATGAACCTTCACCCAAAACATCGTGCGGCATAGGCGGGAAACATCACGATGACTGCGGAGGGTCACCGCCAAACAAAGACGCAGCCCCACCACGTGCCCATGACGACGTTTCGTCCTCATCGCAGAAAAAAGGGTGTGTGCGTATGTGTGACGGCGTGTGGGGCAGCAAAGTGACAGCATCGGCAGCCGTCACTCGCCAAAAGAACAGAAAAAAAAGAAGGACGAGGGGCGTGTCAGCTTCCAGCTTAAAGGCGCAGGTGGAGCCGTGGCAAAAAGTTTCACCTCTTGAGTGTGTGCTCGTCCCGTGCAACTCGGCATCGCTGCAGTGGCCACCGCAAGCGCTAGTTTGGAAACGTTCGCCCAGTGCCGCAGCGCCACAGCAGACGGTGCCGTGCGCAGTCGCAGAGTAATGGTGCATCGTGAAAATCACATAATAGATGTGCCAAACAACCACAACGGCACTGCACACACAAACAACATCCAACTTCACTACCGTGGGCTTCCGCGCACACGGAATTGGCGCATCACTGCATACCAAAGAGGAGACCGAATAACACCACCCATCCCCTTCCCACAAAGGCCGCACAGTGGCTGTGATGCCTTCAACAATGATTTCCTCACCTCGTCCCGCTGCATATCTCCAGTCAAAGGGCCCACATACAGTGTGCATTGCATAACAGCTTTTTGAATCAG